CGCGGGACGCGTCCCGCCGAAGGCCGCCCACTCAGGGCCCCGGACCCCGCGCGACTCCCGGCGGACCCCCGGCCCGAGCCCCGCTGTCTACCTGTCTTCGCTCTTATTTTTCTGTTTCTTCCCCATCGCTTGTCAGCGGCGTCGGCGGACCCGGCCTCTCGGTTCGGTGTCTCACACACCCACTGTCTCCCCGCTGACGCCAATGCCCGCTCGGCTCCGTCCACCTCGCGCCGCAGCCTCTCGCACCCGGCTCTCCACAGACCCGCGCACTGGGACAGGGCACATATGGTGTGAGACCTCAGTACGCAAGCGCATCGCCCCGCCGCCTCGGCGTGGGGACGCAGGGCGCGGCTCATCGAGAGCGGCGCTTCGGCTAGAGCGTCTTCAGTTGACCCGCCGGCCAGGTGGGAACCCGAGCGCCCCCTAGCCGCAAGGGACTGCCACGCACCGGCGCCTGGTCGCTCCCGAATTCTAGAACCTAGAGGCTTTTCGTTTCTCACGTCAGCACCCTCCCGGGAGCTGGCATTCGACTCAGGAGTGGTGCTGAAAATTCCCTCATGCCTACATCTCCTCAGCTGCAGGAAATTCATTCATTACGGGACTACAAGGAGCCAATGATGAGCCTTCCGGAGTTCCCCAGGGACTTACACCCGGAACAAAATAATGGATCCATCCCCCTCAGGAACACTCATGTATAACACTTAGTAACACTGTAAACATTTATTAGGGAGAAAAGACACACGGTACAGCGACCAATCCCCTAATAAGAATCTTCATATGAGCAAGTTCGAAAAATTCGTGTTTAAGGAAGTCAGGAGGGAAGATTCTGGAGTGGCGAAAATGTTTTGGGGCGATGTTATTAGTGCGAGCTACCGATTTATAGTGCACTATAAGTTATACTTCAACTTTAGAAACGACTAAACTCAAAGGAAGTCCCACGGACAGGAATCACATCAGGCTCATTGCGCTGTAGCACAGCCAGGGCTGACGAGCAGTCTGTACACAAGAAAAACTACAATTCCCAGCGTCCTTAGCACCCATTCCTCTGTGCATCAGCCCGCAAGTATAGGGTCGGAATCTTGTAGTTCCGGGTGGCGAAAGAGAGACTCACTCTCCGAGGCTTTCGTCACCCCCTCGCCGCCCCTTCCGCAGGTCTCTCACATTTTATCGCGAGAGGACTTTAGCCAATGGAAAGGGAGAGTGGACAGAACCTTCGCCGCCCTTAACGACTGCTGCGAGACTGAAAGCTGCGTGAACCCGATCGGTATTCTTGATCTGCAGCGTCTTCTCTTCGTTGGCACCACCAATAGGCCAGGTACGGCAGAGGATGCTGTGACAGATCCTGCCGTTGTTGAACGACAGATCAGGGCTGCACGTCCGGCCGGCTCGGGCGGGGCGGGGATGGGGTGGGGAGGGCGTAACTGGGATAGCCTTGTCCGTGAGGCTGCTGAGGCTGTGGCGCATGCGCCCCAGGTAATGCGAAATCGCGTCCCCCGGAACTCCTCCGTCTGTCCCTGGAGCGCTGGGAGTGGGAAAGAATCTTCCGACAGGTACAGGGGTTATGATTTCGATCAGCAGTTGGTAGGTTAGTTAAATAGTTAGGTATCAGCCCTCCGGTTCCATCGGTAAGAATAATATTCGATATTCTGGTTCAATAAATAGAAAGTTAGGGGCCCACTAAGCTATTTCCTTACTCCCCCTCCCCGCCCCCGCATCTAAAGGCTCTGACTACCATCGCCTAACCTATCGCAATTCTTGTGGCCTGTGTTCTCGTGAGGCTCCGAATTTAAATGTAAAGGCATCCTGTAAAAAGCCCCAGGAATAAGCGCATGCTATGCCCAGATATCGTCAGATTCTGATGAATTTTTCACGGATCCCCTCATTTAGTCCCGAGTGCAGTCTTTTTTTTTAATTTACTTGTTTATTTATATTTATTTATTTATTGGTTTTTCGTGACCTGGTTTCTCTGTCGCTTTGGAGCCTGTCCTGGAACTCACTCCGTAGAACATGCTGGTCCTGAATTTACAGAGATCCGCCACCCTCTTCCTGCTGGAGTGCTGGGATTAAAAGCGTGCCCGAGTGGAGAGTCTTAATCTTACATTTCTCTTCCGGGGGTAGAGATCATAGAAATACAGCTTCTTTTCAATCGTATAGTACTTACGAGTTGTTGACAGTTGGGGTTTAGAAGATTTTTTAGGATTTATGTTTTATGTAGCCCAGGCTGGCCTCTGTCGCTCGTTGTGTATCTAAGGATGATCTCAAATCCCTGATCCTTATGCTTCTGCCTTTGAGAACTGAAATTACAGTCATGAACCACCAGGCCCAGGCTAACTTTGTTTGGGAAGTGTTTGGTTTTAGCTGTCAATTTGACACAATCAAGACTCACTTGAGAAGAAGGACTCAGTGAAAGATTGGCTAGCTCAGGATGGCCTGTGAGCGTGGCTGTGGGGAGTGGGGATTATCTCGATTGCTTAAATAAAGCAAGGAGACCTGCCCGTTTGTGCAGCAGTATTCTGTTCCCTGAATTTGAATCCTGAATTAAGTGTAGAGGGGAGATTAAACACAGGTAAAGCTGTCTTTGTTAGGATATCTCTGAGAGGGTATAGAAATGAAACTCCTTATGGCAGTGTCCATTAATAAATGGCTTTTCTAGAAGCCATAAAGCAAGTTAGTACCATCAGGGACGTCTCTGGATCCTGGAACCATGGACTAGATCTTTGTTCCTGTTTTAGCAGGTGTTGGGGCCTACCTGCTAGGCTCTGAGGGCAGAATGCTGTCTCTAACATGGCATCTCGAGCCCTGTAACCAAGACCCTGTCTTTAAACAAAAAACCCAACAAACCCCCAAAAGTGTAAACTCAATGCTTGTTTCTTTGTGACCCTCCCAGCACCAAGACCGTTTAGAAAAATGGAAGGTAACGGATCCATCGACATGTTCTCAGAAGTCCTAGAAAACCAGTTCCTCCAGGCTGCTAAGCTCGTGGAAAGTCACTTGGACTCAGAACTTCAGAAGCTGGACCAGATCGGTGAAGATGAGCTGGAACTTCTCAAAGAAAAGAGACTGGCAGCACTCAGGAAGGCCCAGCAGCAGAAACAAGTAACCTCTCCCACCTGCTCTCTGAGATCTCCATAGCGCTGTGCTCCTGACACTCTACGCGTGCTGTCATGTGACCTTCCCTCACTTTCAGGATGTTCTGAATTCAACTTCCCTGTCACTTAGATATTTTCCCAGGAATCAAACATAAGGGAAGACTTAGGCAAGATGTAGCATTTAATTGAGGAAGTGACATGTAGAAGAGAGAGTAAAACTTTGCTCAGAACAAGCTTAGGATGCACATATCAAAACTGAAGACAAAATGGTTCCATGTGAGAAGAGGTTTCTAAAGCGTGTGTGCATTTTTATTAAATTGGGGGGGGCAGGATCTCCCTGTGCAGCCACGATTGACCTGCCTGTGCCTCCAGAAGTGCTGAAACTGAAGGCCTGCATGCACACCCAGTTCTGTCATGTTCATTTCACGGAAGCTCAATGAGCTGATTAGTTTATCATACCCACTTGGAAAAGAGAACACAAAGGCTCAGAAAGGTCATTAAAATTCTAGTTCAGTAAATGATGGGAAGGGTATTGAAACTTTTGCCTTGTTTCTTTTTTTTTTCTTTTAAACCATCTGGCTGAAAGGCATAGTGAGCATAGTTGAGGTAACAAGCTTCCTGACACAGGAAAGGTAGAAGGAGCTGAGCGTTCTCAGGCTTGGTTTCGGTGCCTTGGCTTGTGAGTTGAATTACATGTCAGGTTTTCCTTGGTTCTGGACACCACATGAGTAGAACACTTTTCCTTCTGAGGGCTCTGCTCACTGGTGACTAGTCTAGAAGGCCTTGCCTGTTTGAGATTACCAGAAGCAGACAGCTGGGTTCCTAAGCTTCTGAGCTGCAGTAACCACACTGCCCCCCCAAACTTGTACCATGAGGGGCCGGCTTGTTGGGGTTTCTGTCCCGCTCAGTACCCCACAGCCGGCAATTCCCAAAGAAAATCACACACAAGACTCCATAAGATTATAAACTGATTGGCCCATTAGGTCAGGCTACATATTAGTTCTTATAACTTATGTTACCCCATTATCCTTATCTACGTTAGCCACACGGCTCAGTACCTTTCTCAGCGTGGCAGCTTACATCTTTCCTCTCCAATGGTCTGGGCAGAACTGGAGAGGGAGCTTCCTGCTTGCTAGAATACTCCCAGTCTCTTTGCTCCACCCCTACTTCCTGTCTGGCTTTCCCGCCTCTGCTGCCTGCCTGGCCAATCAGCGTTTTATTAAAATATGATTGACAGAATACAGATAATTCTCCCACACCACAAACTGATAGGCTTTATTTCATGGGGTGGTTCGTTTGGTTTGTCTTTTCACTATGGGATAGAATTGGTTTCTTTACAAAATAATACAGTGATTGGGACACTTAAAATTCCGAGTGTCACCAAAAGACATTTCAGCTGGATCATGTGCTTCTCTTGAAATTAGGAATGGCTTTCTAAAGGACATGGGGAGTACAGAGAAGTTGCCAGCGAGAGAGACTTTTTTCAAGAAGTCAAGGAGAGTGAAAAAGTGGTTTGCCATTTCTACAGAGACACCACATTCAGGTAACTTTGCTTCCCCCCCGCCCCCTTGGAAGTCAGTATTCCTATGAGAATGGTTTATTCTTCAAATTTGTTTCCACTGTGTGACTCTAAATATGTCTTAAAGCAGGCTCTTACAGTTCTTACCAAAGCAATAATTTGGTTGCTTTTTCACTGTGCTGTGTTCACTGGGAATTGGAGGACAACAGCTTTCATAACTGGTGTTTATCCACTTGCTCTGTCTTCTTGATAAGGAGATAGTAAGTGACTTGACCAAGCCTTTCCTTGGAATCGTAGTTGGAACTGCCAGGCTTATCTCCTGTGGGAACATAAACAAAAACTCTTCTCCAAAGCATTTTTGATTTCCATTTGAAAGTAAAGATAACCCTAAAGTATCTAGCTTGGTGCAGTCCTGCAGTCCTGCTCACAATTCCATGTTTACCAGCAGCTGTCTCTTGCCCATCAGCAATCAGAAAATTCAAAACCAGCACAATATTATACTGTGTATTTCCCATCTTTTGTGGCTTTTTTTCTTTTTTTTTTCCTTTTTTTAAAAACTTTTTTAATGATTTGTTTTTATTTTATGTGCATTGGTGTTTTGACTGCCTGTATGTCTGTATGAGGGTACCAGATTCTCTGAAACTGGAGATACAAACTGTTGTGAGGGGCCATGTGGATGCTGGGAATTGAACCCAGGTCCTCTGGATGAGCAGGCAGTGCTCTTAACCACTGAGCCACCTCTCCAGCCCCTGCTTTATTTCTTTTATTTTACTTTTATTGTCTCTTTAAAGACTTTACTTGACTATTTTAAACTATTTCTTTCTATAACTGTCCATACCCCTTTTCTTTCCTTCTTAAGCCTACACACATTGTACAACACATTGGAACATGTTCAGATTTTTTTTTCCCTGTCAGGATCTCTTGTTCTGCGTATCTTTTAGGCTTTTTGACCACATGAGCAAATTTTTGTTTACATTAATCATAAACTTATTGGCCCATTAGCTCAGGCTTCTTATTAACTCTTATAACTTACATTAAACCATTATTCTTATCTGTGTTAGCCACATGGCACAGTACCTTTTTCAGCGGCATAGTCACATCTTGCTTCTTCTGTGTCTGGACAGGACTGCAGAGGAATCCACACGAGCAAATTTTAAACTGCTAAGCTACACCTGGGTTCTCTTTGATACTCTCTTGGCTGACTCTGCCCACCTCTAGGTTTGTGAGAGCCAACCCTAAAGCTTGTGGCCTGGTCAGAAATGCCTGACCAGGTACTACATTCACCTCCTATCTATAGGAAGCCCGGTACCTGCGCTCCCACAAGCAGTTATTTTGTTTTGTTTGTTTTGTTTTTTTGACTTTTCAAAACAAGGTTTCTCTGTAGCTTTGGAGCCTGTCCTGGAACTAGCTCTTGTAGACCAGGCTGGCCTTGAACTCACAGAGATGGCATGCTTCTGACTCCCAAGTGCTGGAATTAAAGGCACGTACCGCCACCGCCTGGTTCTTAGCTTGCATTTCTATTAACACTGGTGGCTGAACAGTGGAGCGGGGCCTCTGAAAGGAGCAGTGTCTTTGTTTTCTTTCTTTTTTTCCCAGCTTTCTCAAGCCATACATGGACATTCGGACCCATGTTGGTATGCTAAAATATTGTTGGTTTTTTATTCTTGACTTCTTTACTCTTTTGCAGGCTCACCACCAAGCTTCCAAATCATGACAGGGAGGCTTATTTCTTATAAATGCCCAGCCCTAGCTTGGTTTATTTCTAGCCAGCTTTTTTAAAAGTTGTCCCTTCTACCTTTTGCCTCTGGGCTTTTTCCTTTTCTTACTTCTGTAATCTTTCACTCTTATTCCTTGTCTGGCTGGCCTCTTCTTTTCTTGCCCTGGCCTTTTGATTTCTTTTGCTTCTTCCTTCCTCTAATGTTCTTTTTATTTTCTTGGCCAGCCAGCCCCGCCCGCCCATTTCTCTCTCCTGCCTAGCTATTGGCTGTTCAGCTGTTTATTAGACTAATCGGGTATTTTAGACAAGGTGCCGTAACAGCTTCACAGGTGTTTTAGACAGGCATAGTAATAGCTTCAAACAAATGCAACGTAAAAGAATGCAGCACATCTTTGCATCATTAAACAAATGTTCTACAGCATAAACAAATGTAGTATATCTTAAATTAATATTCCACAACATGGGTTGGTCCCAGGCATGGTGGTCTACAGCTGTAATTCCATTGCTTTTGAGATTGCAAGTAGGATCACAATTTTGAGATCAGCCTGGGCTACATAGTAAGATCTTAGAACAACAGCAAAATATGTTAATGACAAATGGTGTGCATAGACTGAATTAAATTAGGTTCCTGCTTCAGTTCAAATATGGAGTAGATTTATGTTACAGATTTCTTACATACAGATTTGTTTGTTTAGAGCATCATTTAAAACCCGATATTTGTTACCTTACCATTTATTTCTGAAATCTTGCTTTGTTTGCTCTTTTGGTTTTTCAAGACAGGGTCTCTATGTAGTCCTAGCTGTCCTGGAACTCAGAGATCTGCCTTCATCTGCCTCCCAATTCTTGGGATTAAAGGCATGTGTCGTCATTACCCTGTTTTAGCTCTGAAATCTTATTATTAAACTACCTGGCAGAAAAGACCCAGTCAGGAACAAGATTGGCCTCAAGGTTACAAGAAACTTCCTGAGCCTAGACTAGTTCTGCAGCAGCAGCGGGTACTCGAGAATCACCTGTGTACTTCCCCGTGACACCCAAGAACTTTCGCTCACCTGTATGTTTTAGAAGTAATCAACTATTAGCTGTCTGTGGTGGTGCTCGCCCTTAATCCCAGCACTCAGGAGGCAGAGGCCAGCAGATCTGATTAGAGGCTAGCTTGAGGCCAACTTGGTCTATGGAGTGAATTCCAGTACAGCCAGGACTAATTGCACAGAGAAACCCTGTCTCGGAAAGCAAAGTAAGTAAGACTCAGCTATAATGAACACCTGTGCTTAAGAACCGAAAAGATTGGCAGTCTATTTCTTTTGAAACTAGGAGCTTAGTTTGTTTAAAATAGATTTTAATTTAAAGAAAATGTCACTTCCTCTTCGGGAGATGGTTTAATAAAAGTCACTACAGAGCTGAAAGTGCCGGTTCATTCTTTAGCACTGGGGTTGGGGGTGGAGTCACACTGATACCATTCATTTCTTAAGGGTCACACTAGCCATTAAAGAGCACCAGTAACCTTTAATAGATAAGCTTCCCTGACAGAGTTACATGTTTCAGGGAGTTGTTGGTGGCTCCAGTTTTGGGCTTTTTTTGTTGTTGTTGTTGTTGTTTTGTTTCCATTTTTGGTTTTTAGTTTTTCAAGACAGTGTTTCTCAGTGTAGCCCTGGTTCTGTCCTAAAATTCACCGTAGACCAGGCTGGCCTCCTACTCAAAGATCAGCCTGCCTTTGATTCCCGAGTGCTGGGATTAAAGGTGCACCTGCTGAATTTTTGCCTTTTATGAGTTTTGTCAGCTTCAAATCTATCCCCCTTCATCCTTATGAAGACACAAGGAAAATTCATGCGTAAGGGAACCTTTTTTTTTTAAATATGACAACTTAAAAAATTGAGATTCAAACAGAAAAACAGATAAAATGAGCCGCACAGCAGTGCTTTCACCTTCTGCTCTTGTCTTCCAGGTGTAAAATACTAGACAGACATTTGGCAACGCTGGCCAAAAAACATCTTGAAACCAAGTTTTTGAAGCTGAATGTGGAAAAGGCGCCATTCCTCTGTGAGAGACTGCGGATCAAAGTCATCCCCACACTGGCTCTCCTGAGAGACGGCAAGACACAAGATTATGTTGTCGGATTCACCGACCTAGGAAACACAGATGACTTCACCACGGAAACTTTAGAGTGGAGACTTGGTTGTTCTGACGTTATCAATTACAGGTAACCTTTAGCAAAAATGAACCAAAAAATAGATTTTTTTTTGAAGCCATGCTTAGTTAGTCGTTTTTAGATTTATTTTTATTTGTTTATTTATTTATTTTGTGTGTTAATATTTTATGAAATTAAGTCCTGTTGTATGCAACTTGGAAAAAGCCCATTTTTTAAATCATAGAGCAATGTGATCTTATAACAAAACCAATTTTACAGATAAAAACTGAATCTTGGAGGCAGCCTAGACATTTTCAACGTAAGAAATGCCACTGAAACTAATTTTGGAAACCCAAAGTGACATTCCCGAATAGATTGCCTTTGGATGTGTGGCAGGAGGGTTGTTTTTTACGTTGTTTAGACAGTCAACTCAGAGACTTGCACATGCTAGACAAGTCTTCTGTCACTAAGTTATACCCTAAGCCTTAACTCCACAATTTATAGCTGACTTAAGTGATTCTTTGTGATAAAATTAAAATGTAAAATACAACTGCCAAAGAGGTCATTATGCTTTTGTGATTTCATGCTTGTAGTACTGAGGTGACAGCCAGGACCTTACATGTACTAGCTGTGTGCTGCACACCACACCACAACAGTAATCCCTAGCCCTGAATACTGGGTTAACACAATAGGCTTTTATTGTAGGTGCTCATATACATGTACAATCTGAAACTTCAAAAGCTTATGTAACTGGGGAGTGATCTTTTTGTGAAACAACCTAAAAATCATCTTCTTTTTTGTGTGTGTGCATGACTTTGTCCCTTTCGAATTGAAAGTGCCACCTGTTCTGTGCCTATTCTTGCTTTAAAAGGGAAAACAGAGACAAGGAAAATTGTGCCTTTCAAAGCTGAAAATTTCTCCTTTTGTCTCCCCCACTTCCCCTCACTTCTCTGAGTCTCCGCTAAACATGGATGAATTATCCCTGTACTATAGAAGTCCGTGTTTTCTTTTGTTAACATGAACATAAATTAACATGTGTTCAACAAAACATTATATTTTGAAATTATTTCTAACTTTTTCTTTTGATTTTTATGTTTTAAGACAAGGGTCTTACGCTACAGTCCAGTAATGTTAATCCTCCTGCCTCAGCCTCCTAGGTGCTGGGATTACAGGTGGGATCCACCATGCCCATCTTGATTTTGAATTTTAGTTATGTTGCAAACTAGCAAAAGGAATTCTTGCATAGTCTTTACCATATTCCCACATTTTAAATGTTTATGCCAGATACATAACAAATTGTTTTCAGAACCATTTGAGTATACTGCTTTATTTCTAAATGTATTTTTCCTAAGAATAAGTACATTTTCTAGTATACTCCCAGTGCAGTTAATAAAATAGCAGTGATATAGTTTATAGAACCTACTCAAATGTATCACCATCCTTGTATCGTTTTCTGTGTCTGAAAATTGTGTCACATTTAGTTATTGCATTTAGTTTCTGTAACAATTTCTATAGTAATTTTTTTAGACTTGAAGTTTTTAAAAAAGTATAAGCTAGTTAATTTCTCAGTGTTCCCAGCTCGGGTCTGTATGCATTTCGGCATCAGACTCGGATCTCAGGTCAGGGCTAGTTGCTGCAGGAGGGTGTCGGTGCCTTCATTCCCAGTGTGTCATCTGATGGTAGTGGTCCAGCACTAGGTTGGACACTATCGTGCCAGGTGATGATTTATGAGGAACTTTTGTACACTTGCATTTATTTCCTTGTCCATTTAGTGATTAGTCTGGGCTGCAAATGATTTTATTCTGTGGATTATAGTCAATAAAGCTTCATTATCCTTTGACCCTTGTGGCCCAAGCAAGATGCTTTAGGAAAACTTATGTTGTATTCTATCTGTAAAATTAGCTGTGTTTCTAAGAAGTTGTGCTTCCTTTCAGTAGCAAATGAGTTTTTCTTCCTTTTTCATTTATTGATTACTTTATTTACTGTTTGTTCAGGGCAGGCTCTCACTATATAGTCTAAATGGTCCTGATGTGCACAGTCCTACCTCAGCCTCCTGGCAACTGGAATTAAAGGCATTTGCCACAGTTCCTGCCTAGCAAATGATGTTCCAAAATTAACATTTCGATGCCAGGAATACTCCCAGACACATATGCAAAACTGCCTTACCATTTATTTCTCTAGCATCATTGAAAAGTTTTTTTTTTAAAAAAAAAAAAAAGTTGTGTTTTGTTTTGTTTTTTAAGTTTTGTGCCAGTCCTGGGCTGACGATAGTGCATTCCATGAGTAAGTTTTGCTAAGTGTGTAGAAATGTAAACACTGGAGTGCTACCCAGGAAAAGTCACAGCAGGAGCTCAAGCACAGCTGTGTTGCCTGGCATCATTAGCATGGGTTCAGCACAGGGCGGGTGCGTCCAAACCTCTTCCCTGTCTGCTTCGGAACATTAATGCCCAGCGTGCAGAGGGCCAGGGCCTTATCTTCATCAGCCCAAAAATGTTTGTGATAATGATTATGATAAACAAGAAGCTCAAACGTTGATCTAATACAGTTAGGTAAGGTGTGACACTATTAACTGTTAGTATTAATGCTTTTTGCACCCTAGCATCCCAAGTGTATTAAATCATAAAAAATAAAATGCTCTTAAACTTTGTTTCACTTTTAGTGGAAATTTAATGGAGCCACCATTTCAGAGCCAAAAGAAATTTGGGACAAACTTCACAAAGCTGGAAAAGAAAACTATCCGAGGAAAGAAATATGATTCTGATTCTGATGATGACTAGACTGTGCTGTATTTGTAAAGCATCTGTTTGTTTACGTCAGAGTTAAGTGTCTTTCTGAAGTCCTTGATTTCGGCCCATTGACCATCTGGTCCTCGTATCCCAGAGTTTACACTGCTTCACCACATGGAAGGACACCATTACTATTTGTCTGTGGCCATCGTGTGTACCTTGAGAGAAACAGATATCTTAAATTACCTGGAAAGGTTCTGGATTCTCTATTTTTGTGATTGTTTTTATCATAACATAATTCTTCTATCTTTATACCACTCACACTTGTGTTTTTAATCTACAAATTAGCAATAGAAATTCAGCAACTCTTCCAGGACTTGATGAGTGCTGTCTATACAAATGGTGTGGGAGCATTTCCTGGTGTCCCACATACACCTGTCAGTGAGTCCTCACTTCATGGAATGTGTTTCAGGAACTATTAAAGACTTGTCGGTGTAGTCTGGGTGCAGCACAATGACTCTGCAGTTTCTGAGTGGCCGCATAGGAACTCCAATGGCTGCTAGTACAGCAGTTTTAGAATAGGGTGGCATCATCTAATGATGGCTCAGTGTAGGAAGGCACTTGACACAAAACTTGAGGACCTGAGTTCAATTCCCAGGACCCACTTGGAAGGAGAGAAACAATTCCTGCAAATTGTCATGGAGCTCACACACATAATACAGTAAATAAAAATTGTCATGTAATACACACGTAATGAAGTAAATACAAATTGTCAGGTAACACACATAATAGAGTAAGTACAAATTGTCAGGTAATACACTCATAATGCAGTAAATGCAAATTATGTAACACGCATAATGCAATAAATACAAATTGTCATGTAACACATGTAATAGAGTAAATACAAATTGTCATGTAACACACGTAATAGAGTAAATACAAATTCTCATGGAACATAATGTAATAAATACAAATTGTCATGGAACATAACACACATAATAGAGTAAATACAAATTGTCATGTAACACGTAATACAGTAAATACAAATTATCATGTAACACACATAGTGCAGTAAATAACAAATTGAATGTGAAAAGTGATTTGGTATTGGAGGCAATCTAAAACGGGAAAGAAGGGGGAAGTGTAGGACAAACATATTAATAAATTTTAAAAAAATGACATAAAGAGGCTGGGGAGATGGCTTAGCAGTTAAGAGCACTTGGGTTCGATTCCTAGCCCCCACATGGTGGTTCACAGCCACGTACTAGCTCAGTTCTGGGTGAATCTGATGCTGCCTTCTGACCTCCATGGGCACCAAGCACACGTGCACATACATACATTCAGGCAGGATACATATACATAAACTAAGGCGAATCTATTTCTTTTTAAAAGATATAAAAATCTAGTTCTCTGAAAGCACCAAACCTGTTCTGAGCAGGTGAGAAAAGGCAAAGCAAAAAAGATTCAAGGAAAAATTGAAGTGGCCAACTATGAACATCTTTATACCAATGAACTTAGGAAAAGTTTTAAAAGTTTAATTTGTTTAAAAAGACAAAATAGAAGAAGAAATTAAAAAAATATGAACAGGGCTCTAAAGAGATGGCTCAATGGTTAAGAGTACATACCTGCTCTTGCAGAGAACCCAGGTTCAGTTCCCAGCACCCGTGTCAGTGATAGCTCAAGCTCCAAGGTATAATGCCATCTTCAAGCATCAAGGGCACCTGCACACTTAAGTGCAGATTCACATACATAAAGGGAAACCTCTTCTAAATTTAGGCAGAACTAATCTCTATAAATAGCATTTCTAATGGGAAAGTACAACACCAAATGACTATACTCATAGATTCAACAAAAACATTTTTAAAGAATGACATCAATTTTCACAAACTTTTACACCTCAAACATGAGGGATAACTCTAGCTCCTGCTAGTAACTCTATCTTTTAGACTAATATTAAGCTAACACCAAAGCCAGACTGCAGCATCATAAAACTACAGACCAGTAATTTTCCTGAGCACACAGAAATGCTAACTAAAGCCCAGTAACATAAGAAAACAAGGTTATATTTTTGATCACACTCACACATGCATATACCCAAAATATAGACATACATAGTTTAAGTCTTAATAAGCAGAATCTTGGAGGGATGGGTTATCTATTTTTTTCTTTAGACAGGGTTTCTTTATGTATTCCTGGCTGTCCTGGAAGTAACTTGGTAGACTAGACTGGCCTCAAACTCAGAGATCCACCTGTCTTTGCCAACCCAGTGCTGAGATTAAAGGCATGTGCCACCACTACCTAGCACAATTTTTTTTTTTTAAATCAGTGTAATTTCATCCTGTAGCTACAATCGGGAAGCAAGTGGGAATAGCTACCCTGACAGAGCAGACCCAAGCAAAGTCAGAGACAAGACAGTCGACAACAGACTCCGGGGTAGATGGTAGACCCAAAGCTGCCTTTGTGACTCTCACCAAAGAAGACTGAGAAGTAGTCTGTATGCTAAAGAGAGATGGGGAGCGATTCGGAAATCCGCAAAGGTAGTATGGAAGCATGGAGAAAAGATCTAGTGCCTTACAAAAAAGTCAACCCAAGGGCTGGGGACATGGCCCAGAGGTCAAGAGCACTGACTGCTCTTCCAGAGTTCAAATCCCAGCAACCACATTGTGACTCACAACTATCTAGAATGAGATCTGGTGCCCTCTTCTGGTGAGTGTTTGCTTAATAAATCTTTAAAAAAAAAAAAAAGTCAACTCAAGTACACGCATGACTTGGGCAAGGGGTTATGTTTTGTGAGCCGGGCTGTCCTGGTGAAGAGACCTGCAGCCCTACCTTCGGGAAAACCCACAGCTCTCAGACCCACTTGTGGGCTTTGATGAGACCATGAATCCCCCCGGCCAATGTGTCTGCGGTAGAGGGGATGCCCATTTCTGTTAACCATGTGACTCGACTGACAGAGTCCAGGCACCACCTTGAGAGGGAACTGAACTACGCTGAAGCCTGAGAATGGAGAACAACCACACAGCGGCGAGCCTAAGTTTAGTTAACCATGGTTCAGTTCAGTAACGGCAGACAACCCAGGGAGGTGGCTGTGTAGAATGGGAGGGCTCCGTTCTGACAGCTACGTACAGCGCACAGGAAAAAAAAGTCCTGTCCTGGTTGCTAGGAGCAGATCCCATCTATTGAGTTCTGTAGCCCTGCGCCTGTGGTCCGCCTAATGCTATCTAGGTAGCAGTACCACTGCTGAGCCTGGAGACTCAAGCTCCCACCAACAGCACCCCTTCCAGCAAGACAGTAAAAGTACAGAGTCCAAGAACGTGTTATCTTGGTTGCTCCCACACTCCAGTGCACTTGGGAGATAGCCCCAGTCCTGAAGAAGGAATCTGGGGCGGGAAAGGGACAAAACACTCTCCAGTCCACAGACTGCAAAGCTGAGTGTGACCAGTAGAGGACGCTACTACACAGAGAAGGAAAGCTACTGAAGTAGGTCCTGAGGAGATGAGACACTTGCCCAACAGGGCTTAACCATAGAAAGGAGGCCTCCGGTTCTTAGACCTTGAAAGAAGCTTCCTTGGTTCTTTATCCTTTCTTTAACCCCAAGGCCTTCCCTTGCATTTACTTGTTCTTATACTCAAAGCAGTTCTTTTTCTTTATCTTATTTTTTTTTAATATTTTGGGGTTTTTTGTTTGTTTTTTTAGTTCTTCATGGAATCATCTAGTTTTGACTATGTATTTTTTTTCACTAATAGGCATTCTTTTTTCTTGTTTCCTTTCTTCATTTGTTCCTCTCAACCACACTTTCAACAGTATGTTAATTTTGTCTTGCTGGGGATACTCTTTAGTTTGTTATTTTATTTTGTACTCCCTTCTTCTGAGGGGGAAGGTTGGGACAGGAACATTCTATGTAGCCCTATGTAGACCCGGCTGACCTCAAACTCTGAGATCTGCCTCCAGACTACTGAAACAAAACATGCTGCCACCATGCCCTCTGGACTCCTTAACATTTGTCTATTTTTTTAAACTTTGCCATTATTATAAAATCTGAGTTTTTATTATTATTTTTCTCTTCTAATCATTTTTCCCTTCCACAACATTCTTCTCTGTTTTTCTTCTTGTGCTTTTCATTCATTTAATATTGCTTCTCTATTTCCCCTCTTCCCTGCCTCCTTCCTTTATCTCATTCATTTGCTATTGCCACATTTGATGTGGGATTTTCTTCTGTATGCTATGAATATGTTTCATTGCCATCGGTTAATAAAGAAGATGCTTCGGCCTATAGCATGGCAGATTATAGCCTAACTGGATGAGATATATAGAGAAAGTAGGCAGAGTCAGAGAGATGCCATGTAGCTGCTGAAAGAGACAGACGCCAAAACCTTATCTCGTCTGGGTGACTGGAAAGTGAACGAGAAGTCTCTGTGTACACACATTTATCCTAAATAATTGTTAACTTCATAACCTATGTTGCTTTTCCCCATTCTGTTTAATGGTCACATGTGATATATTAATGGACCTTTATTTCTATATTTGGTACTGTTGTTATTGTAATAGTTTGTTATCTCCGTACTGGGTAGTACTCCTAAGAGTGGGTTGCTTACTAAGATTTGCAAGTAAAACCAAAAGAGGTAACCAAGCAAAAGATACAAATTTCATCACAGAAACACCAGAAATGTGGGGAGGAGGAGGAAGGCAACATGATTACCTCCAGAATTGTAACTTTGTAAAATGTGAAGTTCACAGCACATGTGTGGAGGTCAGAGGAAAACTTGGAGGAGTTGGTGCTCTCCTTCCACTATGTGAGTTCAGAGGGCTGACCTCAGGTCACCAAGGTCGGCAGAGTGGGCGAAGGTGCGTGCTGCCCTGCCTGACAAGCTGAGTTTGGTCCCCAGAATTTACAGCACTGGATCAGTAACCCCAGAGCACCCCTGGGGTAAGAGGGTAGAGGCAGGATACTCTGCCAAAGCTTGTGCTCCAGCTAGTCTGTGCACACTGCTGAAGAAACCTTTCTTCAAACAAGGTAGAAAGGGGAAGGCCAAAACCCAACGTTGTCTTCTGACTTCCACACGAGCAGACATACGCATATCACATCCACACACGGGAACATGCTTGTGCACGCACGCACAAAGTTTCTTAACCCCGGAGGAAAAAAAAACAACAAAACGCCAGCATCCTGATACCAAAACTGATTAAGAACACAACAACGAAAGAAATTATAGGTCAATTTACTTGATGAACAAAGGCAGGAAAAAAAATCCTCCATAAAATAAGTACAAATCACGGTCAAGAGCATATTAACATAACAATGCTAAAATAACAGACCATGACTATGCTGGTGTCATCTGAGGGTTGAAAGGTGGTTTAAACATTAAAATCAAGTGTTATACCCCATGGGCCTGAAGAAATGGTTCAGTGGTTAAGATTGTCTACAGCTCTTGCAGAGGACCGGTGATTTATACAACAACCACCTATAACTCTAGTTACAGAGGATGTGACACCTTCT